GAAAAGGTCACCCAGGACAATTCTAGTTTACTCAATGGGCTTCCGCTTCTTCTCACAAGAGATAAAGTATTGACAGTTTTCAACTCCCAGTCACCCAAGTGGATATCAGGATATGAAAATCTCTTCTTTCACTACGAGAACAAATTTGCAGACTATCAGACAAACAAAGACCACATTAAACTTCTTCAAAGTTCAAGAATCATCCAAAAAATGACATTGACCTGCTCAGAGAAATATCTGAAACCATTATTTCAGCATCTTCTTAAGAACTGTGAAGATGATCCACGCAGTGGTCTTCATGTCCCAAATGACGAAATGATAAAGTGGCTGAAATCACTTTGGAGGTTCATAATGAGTGAAATTAAACCGCCAACATCTAGAGATGACGAGTCAAGTCTGACACTAAGTGATGTGAGGAAACTCTTCAGTGACTGCTACATTTTACCTGTTTTGTGTCCAAGGTTGAACAACAAGCACTTCCTGCAAACAATGAAACACATGTCAAGTGTTGTGTTTGCCTCACAGAAACACAAAGACATATCAGGCATCCTCTTCAAACTTGGTTTTATGACGTTTGATCGTGTATTCTTTGTTGAGATGGACCGACAGGTATATTCATGTCTACAGCATGAGCTTCTCAATGTAGATGATCAAAGCTCAGTGTTGTATCAAGTCTACAACATTAATCACTCAGAATTTTCCCACCTTTCAAATGATGATATGAAGGAGTTTCAGATCTTCCTCCAGTCGGGATTATCAAAGTCCAAAGACAACCAAGAGTATGTGAGGAAACTCAAATCCTTACCAATATTTGAAACAACACATGGTGAACGAGTGAGGATTGATGGAACTAAAAAGGTTTATGTTCTCAACATCGAATATTCAGTCATGTTTCCAGATTTGCTCAACCTACCTAACAGCAACAGCATTTTTCTCAAGTTCAACTTCGAGAACTACATGCTGTCAGAAACAGTCAACATTCAGGTCCTGAAGGATTTGCAGTATTTCATGAAGTTCATTCTACCTGCTGTACACCAACTCACCGAGACACAGATTCTTCACAGCCTTAAGCTGTTGCTGTCACTATATTACTCTTCAGAGGACAAGAAAACTATCATCTCCTCACTGAAGACAGTGAAACTGATTCGCAGTTCTCAAGGTAGACTGGAGCCTGCATCATACTACTTTGATGAGAGTGTGGAGCTGTACAAACGAATGTTGCCCCACGAGAGATTTGTTCCTGAGAGATTTTGGACTGAGCTGTGTGACGGAGATGACTACACAACAGAAAAAGCAAAAAAGCTGGTCAGAAAACTTGGAATGAAGCATGTTGTGTCAAACGATGAGATAATAAATTTCGCGTACCAGCTGGAATCAGAAGCAAAAGGAAAAGGAAGAATTGAAGACCTGAAACGGAAATCATCATTACTTTTCAGGAAAGCCTTGAAGAAAGCATGTGATCCCAAAGACAACAACGAAAGGCTGCTGGAAAGCATTGCTGACATCAAATTCATTTTTCCAGTTAATATTCGAAAAGAACTGTCCAACTACCACCAACCATTTGCAGCTGAAGGAACTATGGTGAAAATTAGAGGCTCTTTAATTAACAAAAATCCACAGCATCAAGATTTGATTTGGACCTCAATGCCAATTATAGACCTGCCAATTATGTCACAAAGTCTTCAAATGCTAATTAACGCAGGAGCTCATGAAGAACCACCTCCAAACTGTGTAACCAGTAACATAAGAAACATCTGTCAGTCACCATGTGAAACTGACCAGCTGATCAAAACACGAGCTAAAGTGTTCAGAAATTCGTACGCTTACCTGCAAGCAAAAAGATTTGAAGGAAACCAGCTGGCTGG